TCTAGATGGCCTGGCGGGGTGGGTGTGGAGCCAGAGACAGCAGGGGTTCAAACTGTGGAACCCAGTTCCTACATTTGAATATAAAAATTGATTTTATCAAACAAAACTATGCTACATTTTATCTCTGAGACCCTTAGGATGACAAAACAGAGCAAGATTACTGAATGTAAGTACATTATTTACCTTCAGAGGTGAATTGATCAAACCAGTTGCCATGATACATTTGTTGTGCACTCTCCTCAAACAATAACATGGTATTCTTTCACTGTAATAGCTACTGTAAATTGGACAGTGCAGTTAGATTAACAGGAATTTAAGCTTTCTGTCCATATAATAGATGTCTATGTCCTGGAATGTTTGCTGATACAACAGTCATGCTAATCACATTAGCGCACGTTAGCTCAACCGTCCCGTATACGGGACACCGATCTCATAGAGGTTAATGTCAAGCCCTGCATGTTTTTTTCAGAAGTCTCATGGAATGTAGGCCTACATTGAACACCACACATTGGCTGCTTCTGTAGGCTGAATGATTGAACAGCTATTTCCATGTTAAATGTTATGGGATGCATTTTCTCAATTGTTTTTGACAGTAGGCCTACATTATGATCAAATAGCCATAGTAGCCTACTTGGCCACTGTTAAAACGGTAAGTTAAAGCGGGCACAGCCTCAGTGTTCACAGTTAACACTCGTTGGAAGTTGCACAGAATTTTGAAAACGTTCAAGTTTGCGCTCAGCCGACCTGAAATTTGCTCAGTGCTAAAATAGATTAGAGGGAATATTGGTCACAAGCTTGATGTTGTCATTGCGTGCTAGGAATATGGGACCAAATACTAAACTTTTGACACTAAACGTTTGACTACTCACTATAATTGGATTTGTCCAATTAATTATGATACATTCAAATGGGGGGACTAGATACATAAAATGCTTTCATTTCTAAAACAGATATGAATGAAAATACCCTCAAATAAAAGGTGACATTCTGTACTGTCGCCTCACATGAAACACTTGATCTCAGATCCAATATGCTGGAGTATAGAGACAAATTAAAAGTATTAGCTTCACTGTCCAAATAAATTAGGGGAGTGTATGAAAACATCTTCTCCAGGACAAACCTCCACCCTACTCCCCTACTGAAGACAAGAAGAGTGCCTGTATCTCAGCTCCCACCCCTCCTTCTCACGGCCTGTACTGGACACTATTATTTGTTTATTTATTATTTGTCTGTACAGGTTTTTAATGTGACGACTTAAATATGAGAGGATAGCAGTCGATCATATGACCAGGTCTCTGTTGAAAAATAAATGTTATTGCAAAGAGACTAGCCTGAATTAACCTTAAAAAAACAGTTGTTAAATACATAAGAGTTGGTGAAGTTTGACTTATGGTACAAATCTGAAATGTCACCCTTGTATATAGGGAATATGGTGTAATATGAAACTTGAACTTTGTGTTGATAGGGACCATAATGTCTAGGTAGTATAGGAGCGAATCCCTGATCCTAGTCCAACTAACTATACTGAACAAAAATATGAACGCAACACGTAAAGTGTTGGTCCCATGTTTCATGAGCTGAAATAAAAGATCCCAGAAATGTTCCATACGCACAAAAATATTATTTATCTTAAAATTAGTGCACAAATGTGTTCACATCCCTGTTAGTGAGCATTTCTCATTTGCCAAGATAATACATCCACCTGACAGGTGTGGCATATCAAGAAGCTGATTAAACAGCATGATCAATACAGAGGTGCAACTTGTGCTGGGGACAATAAAATACCACTCTAAAATGTGCAGTTTTGTCACACAACACCACGCCACAGATTAGATTTGGGCCTAATTTATGTATTTAAATGGACTGATTTCCTTATATGAACTGTAACTCAGTAAAATCTTTTAAATGTTTGCATGTTGCGTTTACAATATATTTTTGTTCAGTGTACATGGAAAGATTATCTTTGCTATATGCTACTACTGCTACTGCCTGTGTGTGTGTGTATGTGTGTGTGTGTATAGAGCAGTTGGCCTATGATGTCATGTCCTGTCTGTCACTCTTCTGAACATTCTAGAACACACTCACTCACCCACCACATCACATCAAGGAATAAAAAAAATAATAATCCTTGACCAACACTTTACATGTTGCGTTTATATATTTGTTCAGTGTACATACAGGTCTAAGGAGATAAACTATGTAGTGTTTGACATGAGTTTGAGGGCCTGTTGCATTTTCGCAACCTGGGGTCTCACCAGGTTAAGGATTTTGTTTCTAAAATGCTGACTTGGCTAAATTTTCTCACTATGGGAAAAATGGGTGTTGCAGACTACAGTCGGAGAAGGAAAGGTCTCACATACACAGGACAGTTCCGTAATACGCCTAAATGACTTACTTTCCTACATACATCCTAGTACATTCCCAAACTAACTGATCATAGAAGTCTGGATAGTTGAAGGGAATATGGAGGCAACTCCACGGAGCATAATGGAAGGCCATATTGCTTTCACCCATCCAGGCCTAGTATCCAACTGGGACGGGCTGGGATTCAATCGAAATAACTAGCTTGCTTACCACTATATATGTATTACTCCCCTAGACTAAGGTTAGTGACACAAGTATAGACAATATGGTTCTAGCTCTACCTAGCCCATAGAGAATGATAGAGATATCATATTTATATACACTGAGTATACAAACATGAAGAACTCTTTCCATGACATAGGTGACCAGGTGAATCCAGGTGAAAGCTATAATCCCTTATTGATGTCACTTGTTAAATCCACTTCAATCAGTGTAAATGAAGGGGAGGAGACAGGTTAAAGAAGGAGTGTTAAGCCTTGAGACAATTGAGACATGGATTGTGTATGTGTGCCATTCAGAGAGTGAATGGGCAAGACAAAACATTTAAGTGCCTATGAACGGGGTATGTTATTAGGTGGCAGGCACACTGGTTTGTGTCAAGAACTGTAACACTGCTGGGGTTTTCATGCTCAACAGTTTCCCGTGTGTATCAAGAATTGTCCACCACCCAAAGGACACCCAGCCAACTTGACACAACTGTGGAAAGCATTGGAGTTAACATGGGCCGGTATCCCTGTAGAGTCCATGCCCCGACGAATTTAGGCTTTTCGGAGGGCAAAAGGGGGGATGGGGTGGGAATTCCTATAGGTTAAGGAATGATCACAGAATTCCATCCAGGTCACCAGGGGGGATCAGCCAATTAATTATACTCATGAGAAAAAATTCAATAACTGCAGGTGGCAGTAAATCGCCAACCTTGGCTTTATACCTGTTCAAACACACTGTAGGTGCACCCTTTCAGTTTGTTTGCCAACTCATAGAAGCAGTAGAAGAAGAACATGAAAATGGACTACTTCAAAATGGAGATGGCCTCAATGGCGCTGCCCATGCTCTTGCAGACACCATAATGGGACAGATACAATGATGCGATGTCTATCGAAGTCTATGGTTATGGAGACTAGTCCCATATGAGATTGTTAGGTCACGGTCATTCCCTTTCGTGTTGTCGTCGTGGCAAGCAGAGGGTGATGCAAACGCCCCTATCCAACAGGCAGGGAATAGCTCCTGAGTGAAGGCACAGTGGAAGGCATGCAACCGCGTGGGAGTGGCCAGCCATCGTTTCCCGGCACTCATTGTGCCAGGCACTCAACTGGCACTCATCCAGCTGGAGGCTCCAGGGAAGATCGTTCATTCCCACCATACACTGTTTCCCCTTTTCCTTCCTGGGGATGCCCTCGTAGGTCACCTGGGGGAGAGATGTAGGGGTCAAAGATTATGGTGGGAAGAGGCACCCGTAGGTTCTCCTGGGAGAGGAGCAGGTGACCGTTGACCATGCGAGGGTCAAAGGTCAGGGTACAGCGGTCTGAGGAGGAGGGGGAAGGGAGCAGGGGAGAAGACAATTAGGTGTACAGCTTATTAGTCTAAATTAGCTCTATAACAACGGATAGGTGATAGATCATTCAGGTTACTAATTATATAACCCAGAATAGTTGTTATTATTTACAGTTACTGTGTTAATATCTATGAGAGTTTTATTAAAGTAAGGAACAACCACATACATTCACTGAGGCCCTGCTGTCCAGCTAGGTGACATGGAGCAGCAGGACTGGGGACCACAGCCAGGATGGTGTGCTTATCCTGGGGAGAACCTAGTGAAGGGGATGGGGAAGAGGAGGGAGATTGGGCGAGAAATACAGAGACAGATATTTTAACAGATTGGAGATGACTATCCATAAAAATAAAATCCTTCATACAGTGAGGTTAGGTGAGGTTAGGTTACCTTGCTTGTCCTGCCCCACAGCTGTAGACACAGCCTTCTCCAGGTCCTCAGACACTAGCTTGGAGATCCGTTACAGGATGTCTGTCACCCCGCTGAGCCTTTCCTGCAGGTTAGGGGTCACATCCACTTGAATGTCCTTCATATGACGAATCTCCACCAGCCGAGTCTCCTACAGAGCAAATGAGGAAAATATGATATATGGTTAGTAACAATACAATATGAAAATTTGATCCCAAAGCTACTAACAGCTAACATATATATTTATGTATGTGATCTATGTAAATAAAGGAATATAACACCGGTGTAAAACTGTGAAGGACTATATGGTGGAGGCCTACCCATTTCCCAGGATCATAATAAAAAGTGGATTTGGGTACAGTGTTTATTTCCCCCGAAAATCTTTGAAGATTATACCTAAAATAATTAGGCCTACTTCTTTCTCCTGCTGATCTGAGACCAGAAGAGTAAAACATAGCAGATATAAATGCAATATATAGAGTAGAAAAGATTGCCTGCCCTCCAAAGAAACATCTGTTCTACATGGTCTATTTATATCTGAATGTTTCAACTCAATCAAGCATGTTAATTGATCGTTAAGTCATGTTTGTCCGGTAAACGGTCATTAGTGGCCTATATAAGCCTCATACAGGCCATGGGATGACATTACTTGTTGATAATAAAGACTATTCTCATTATCATGGGAGGTGTGAGAGAATTTCTGCTCTTTGTGCTGACTGTGGGGGTCTTCAAAGGTTGGTTCACTAATGTTTTATTTGGATTGAAGGGATTTGTTTGTGAAACATGTTGAACTTTATAAGTTTTTCTTCCACGTTGGTCATCTTTTTTTGTAGACTGCTATTAAATATATGTAGCTATTTTGTGTCAACTCTTTCTCCTCAGTTTCTTGTTCCCCTGTTGGCAAGTCCCAGAAGCAAGATCAAGTCTCTCTACAGAGGAGACTTGGAGGTAACCGTTTCTTCCCCTATGTTATCCCATCCCTTCTAGCAATGTTCTTTGCTGCTGTGTTTTAACTAATTCAACACCATAGAGTAACCCAGTCTAAATAACAAATGTTTAGGATCCCTATACCTTTTTTTAAACCAGAAGTTATCAAACCCTTTGCTGTTGATTTTGATAATTTGCTTGTGTACCTGAACCTACGTTTTTCAGAGCTGTCATCAAATGACGTCTCCATTGCACATGCTCCGATCCATAGGGTCTGATGCTAAAGAAGCCAGAAAATGTTAGGCCTGCAACATTCGTTTAGAACTACGTTGGGTTCAGTGGGGTGCAATGTTGCTGAACATTCAAATGGCAATTTGGCCTAGACCGTGTAGAACACCCAACTGTTCCTCTTCTCTTTTCTCTAGAGTATTTGGAGACAAATGAAGTAGCATCCCAAGACTCTCCAAACTATGGTAGCTCTCTCGCAAACGATGACCTGGCCTCTGCTGAGAAGATGAGGAGCTGGTCTGATGACTATGGAAACTCCCCTACTGCTACAACTGGCACGTCCGACGACGCCGCTCCTGAGGCCACAACTGGCACGTCCGACGACGCCGCTCCTGAGGCCACAACTGGCACGTCCGACGACGCCGCTCCTGAGGCCACAACTGGCATGTCCGACGACGCCGCTCCTGAGGCCACAACTGGCACGTCCGACGACGCCGCTCCTGAGGCCACAACTGGCACGTCCGACGACGCCGCTCCTGAGGCCACAACTGGCACGTCCGACAACGCCGCTCCTGAGGCCACAACTGGCACGTCCGACGACGCCGCTCCTGAGGCCACAACTGGCACGTCCGACGACGCCGCTCCTGAGGCCACAACTGGCACGTCCGATGACGCCGCTCCTGAGGCCACAACTGGCACGTTCCGACGACGGCGCTCCTGAGGCCACAACTGGCACATCCGACGACGCCGCTCCTGACGCCACAACTGGCACGTCCGACGACGCCACAACTGGCACGTCCGACGACGCCGCTCCTGACGCCACAACTGGCACGTCCGACGACGCCACAACTGGCACGTCCGACGACGCCGCTCCTGAGGCCACAACCGGCTACTGAAGCCACGAGAACTACTGATTGTGGTTAATTTATACTCTAGCACAAGTGGGGACGAGTCTGTAGACCAAGCGCCTTCTGTTACTGACCATGCCATTGAGGAACAGTTCACCTCTGCATCTGAGACCCCGTTGACCACAAACCTGGATATTTGAAGTGTTGGACGTACATGGGTACTCTAGTCCAGGTTGTGTGTAACTGCGTTTGTGTGTTTTGCCTCAATTAAACATTAACTTGAATACTTGTGTCCTTAGTATTGTTTTGGAGGTTCAATGACCTGACTTTAGTAACTGGGGTGATGGCAAAACAGTTTTATTGCATTATAAACATGCTTTGGCATCAGCAAAATATTACTACTTTGACCAATTTGTGGTTAAGGTGTTTAAATTACCATTGGACTTCCTTAAGCTACATTTGCTGAGTGTAGGTCAACTTATGCTAGTAGCATCAAATGATGTAATGGTTTCTAGGTTATACTAACCTGATGTGGGTTGTAGAACTGAGCGTTTGGGGTTGGTACATATCACGTCTGTAAATGAGGATGTTGCTAGACTTGGGGTTAATGGTGTCAGTGCTGACTAATGTCACGGTTGTCAAATTGCATTTAAATTACTCTGCTGGGTGTATACTAGTCTTGAGTCTACGGACAATTGGTTTCCTACTCGTGAATTCTTACATGTAACACCAGCTCTCATATCATTAGCCAATCGTTTTGGGGGTTGGTCTTCATATGCCAGTAAAAATCCAAACTTTTAGGTTAAAGGCAATGTTAACCTGTCTTAGCTGGCAGGCTGCGATCTGGTCCTAGCTCTCCCAGAGTTGCTTGTAGCGCCTCTAACCTAGGGTTTGTGCGTCGTAGCCTACCGTTTTTAGTCGCCATGAATTCAAAGCGCATGTACACGCAACCTTGAAATACAGTAACAAAATTGACTCCAACTTTTGAGCTACCGGTAGGCCTACCTGCTTTAATACAAAAAGAGGTCTGTGGCAACGCTTTACTCACTTATGCCAACGAGGCCGACTGCAAAACCGACCTGAATTGAGCCTGTTTTGAAGCATCAAGTTAAAACGGGTATGGCCTATGCAAATGATATTGTTTGCTACAGGGAATCAGTCAGCGTCAATTACTTAGTTTCTGACCAAGGCTGTTTTTCCTGTTGAAAAATAATGCGTGAACTGTGTATTTTGTAATGAATAAAAGTAATAATGGCAGTTTATTTATTTTGATTATATAGTCCGTTGGTGTAGTCCAAAGGCTCACTTTTCATTTATGCTGTGACTTCAGAGATGATCATTTACTTTATTGCTAGAAAACAGATGCAGTAAGTAGGCCTCATAAGATTTTATGTAAAATATAGCCTACCTTAGAATGGCATATTAACTGCGGGTTTAGATTCACGGGCAATTGATCAACTGCGGCGCTATCCATTGTTGAATCTCCGCTACAGCTTAACTGTTTGATTATTGGAGATTCAGATTAGTTTCCTCTGACAAAATCATAACAATAAGTGAAGTATAAACAGCCACAACCTTCCCAAATTCCCTCGATAGCCAGGTGCAAGGGGAGAGAAAAGGACCAAAATGCATCTTTCAAAGGTAGGCTAAAAATATTAATTTTTACTGTATTAACCTCATATTTGACCCGTCGGCCATCAGTGCTTCATAGGCCTGTTAAAACTAGGCTACATCAATGAAATGGTGTGGTGACTTTGAGGGAACATAGAGTTGATTAAATTGCAACAAATACATCAAGAACCCTTTAGATTGTGCATATTTCTCCATTTAGAGTGGTATAATCATGTCAGATTTTATTTAATGGTATTATATGCTTTTAAATAGCACTTTCGGTTTGAACGGGAATACCGGGAAGCCTGAGAATTTCTTGCAATTTCCTCAGGAAGGAAAATTGGTAGATTCTCTGGAAAATATATGGCCAATGAGGCCTATACCTACCCTCCGCCCCCAGCCAATGGGATGAACTCCGCGGGACCCCCACCCGAGTACTCCTACCAGGTACGGACGAGACATGGAGACAACTGTTCCTTTAATGTTTGACGAGGAATAAAATACAGAAGAATAAAACTATATACAAGGAGTACCAGTTCCAGATCAGTGTGCAGGGTTACAAGGTATTTGAGGTAGATATTTGTACCCATTAGCTCTTCCTGGGGTCCAACAAAATTTATTTTTAAAACATTACAATACATTCATTACAGAATTCACAACATAAAGTGTGTGCCCTCAGGCCCATAATCCACTATCAAACGAAATTACGAACGCTCAACACCTATGGAATATGGCCGGTGTCAGTAGACGTTTGCAAAAAAGCGTAAATTGTTGCCAGCAGCACAGTTGCAGTCACCAACGCTCTGGATAACATAAAAACATCCTAACCAGCTCTGCTAGGGCGAGTAAAATGGTCAGAGTGAGCTGTTCTCTCATTTGTGTCTGGAAGTAGCTAGCAAGCCAGCCAACGTTAGCCAGTTAGCTTGACTGCTGTTGTTAGGACAGAACGCTCGGATCATACCTTAAAGAGATGGGTGGGGGTAAAGCTATGAGAGGGTGTGAATTATGCTGAATGGGTGTAGACAAAGAAGAGGTCTCCATTAGGTGTACCAAAACATTTAAAGGCAATTTTCTCATAAGTTAGGTTACAAGTTTACCAATTTTCAACGCAGAATTATTTGATCATTTTTCCTCAACTGTAGCGTATGATACACCATTTGAGACTCTACTTTTATCCAATGTAAAAAACACCATTTCAAATTTTGCTACAAAATATTTTTTTCATCAACTTTCATTTTGAGCTACTACAATGAGTTTCAACCATATTTGTTGTTTAGATTTGCTTACACCTGTCAATGTTGGTAGGGGAAGGGGTGTGTTGGTGTTACCTATTCCTTTCCCAACTGGTAGTCCTAGTGTGTGTGGTGATGTCAATGGTAGTGAAATTGCAGGGGAAGTTCCTTTAGTCAGTGGGGGCAATGCAGCTTCTCATGGTCATCATGCAGTCAACTCACCTAGGCCCCAGGTTTTTAGCACCTCCACTCCTAACCCCAATGATGATGCAGTGCTAATTGGCCAGATGAGTACCATAGTCCAACAGATAGGACAGCAGCTAGCTGATAGCATTATCATGCACTTCAGTTCTAGTAGCCCAACAGGAGCTACAGCCACTAGTTAAAGTGAACCAAGACACAGACCTGACCCTCCAGTTAGCCAAGTTCTAGACTTCTCCCAAGTCCAAGTAGTTGCCCAAAGAAAAGTCAAAGAACCACCTTCCTTTAGAGGGGAGAGATAAGACACAATTACATTTGATGAATTGGAAGAGGCCATGAGAAACTTTATTAAAAAGGGACACATGAAAATAGAGGAACAGGCCAACGAGATTCTCATCCATCTCAAGGGAAGAGCAGAAGATGTAGTCTAAATCGGAATCAGGAATAGTGACATTGACATTCTAGCTAACCTAGATGCCATCTATAGTCTCCTCAGGAAGCATTTCAACTGCAGTCAATACCAGTGGAGGCTCTTCAGATGAGGAAGGGGAGGACCATCCTCCTCAGTGAATTTCATGAAAATTAAAATGGTAAAACATTAAAAAGGTGATCCTTTTAAGATAAAACTATACTCAATATAATCACATCACCAAATAACTGATTAAAAAACACACTATTTTGCAAAGGTCTACAGTAGCCTCAACAGCACTCTGTAGGGTAGCACCATGGTGTAGCCGGAGGACAGCTAGCTTCCGTCCTCCACAGGGTACATTGACAAAACCTAGGAGGCTCATAGTTCTCACCCCCTTCCGTAGACTTACACAGTAATTATGACAACTTCCGAAGGACGTCCTCCAGCCTATCAAAGCTCCTGCAGCATGAACTAACATGTTGTTCATCCAATCAAAGGATCAGAGAATTAATCTAGTACTAAAAGCATAAACTACAGCTAGCGAGCACTGCAGTATATAAAATGTGGTGAGTAGTTGACTCAAAGAGAAAGAGAATAGTTGAAAAGTTTTGAACAAATTAATTTCTTCCAAAATGAAGGAGAAACAAGAGAGAAATAGAGAGAGAGAGATTCCATCATTTCTTTTTCACTTTCACTTACTTAGCTAGGAAATGCAGCTAGCTAGTTTAGCATACTGAAACACCCTGCTCAAACAGAGGGATGCTATGTTAGCTAGGTGGCTATGACTTTCCAACACAACACTGGAACTCTTCCAAGTCAAGATAAGCTTTTGGTATTACTAATTTATTGCCACTGGGGCCCGCCGGTGTAACTGCTTACTGACTGTACACTAACGTTACTGCATGATTGTAGTGGGTTTACTAATGCGTTAGTTCTATTAGATATGCTGACTATGACGTTACTTTAGCTAATATGGGGACAACAATGTAGGCTTGGAAAGGTTTTTCCGCCTGGTCATTTACAGCTGATGTGTTGTGCATTGAAGTCCACAAGCGAAGGGAAGAGAAGGAATACACCGTTTCTGTTATGAAATTGAACTCTGTTTATGTGTGATCAGGGGTGTATTCATTCCGCCTATTCTGTTGAAAATGGTTTCATAAACGGAAGCAAACGGAACAAAACGGGGATAAACATACATGAATTTGTCCAATAGAAACTCTAGTTTGCAACTGTTGGACTAATCATTACACCCTATATCAGCTAAATGCAGGCAAGAGTGTGTAAGGCGGTATTGAATGTCACTCTCTGTCACCTCAAATTTGTCTCTCAACATGTGTGCACCTACGTTGTAAACTTTCATTCATAGGCTAGGTTGTAGCAACCTCATGATGGGTATAGGAAAAATGTGAGTATCATG